AAAAAAAAAAAAAAAAAAAAAAGGATTTTCATTCATTCATTTATTCAACAAATATTTGAGTACCTACAATATGCCAGACACAAAACCAGAAACCTGGTGAATAAGATAAGCACGATGCTTGCCTCATAGAGCTTACAGCCTAGAGAAAGGAGAGAGATACTCAAACCATCAACAAACACAATAATTTCAGGTGTTTTTATGTGCTAGACTGGTCAGAGACCTCTCAGAGAGCATGGCACTTGAGCAGCTATGCAAAGATTTAAAGGAAGAGCATTAGATGCAGGGAAACAGGAAGTGGAAGAGCATTAGATGCAGGGAAACAGGAAGTGGAAGAGCATTAGATGCAGGGAAACAGGAAGTGGAAGAGCATTAGACATAGGGAAACAGGAAGTGGAAGGCAATGAGGCATATAGCAGATTGGCTTAAGAAATAACAAGAAGGCTGGACACAGTGGCTCAAGCCTGTAATCCCAGCACTTTGGGAGGCCGAGGCAGGAGGATCATTTGAGGTCAGGAGTTCAAGACCAGCCTGGCCAACGTGGTGAAACCCTGTCTCTACTAAAAATACAAAAATTAGCCGGCATGATGGTAGGTGTCTGTAATCCAGCTACTCGGGAGACTGAGGCAGAAGAATCGCTTGAACCCAGGAGGTGGAGGTTGCAGTGAGCCAAGATGGCATCACTGCACTCCAGCATGGGCGATAGAGCGAGACTCACTCTAAAAATAAAATAAAATAACAAGAAGTGAGTGTGGCTACAGCTCAGCGAGAGGGTGAGTCATGGGCAGGCCAGGTGTAGAGTGTGAATTTTATTTTGAATGCAGAGGAAGCCTTTGGCAAGTGAAAATATGACACTTCAGCCTTAACTTATTGATCTACCTTGGGGAGATTCTGTAGCCACAGTGAAATTTTGGGAGCCATAGACCTGGGATTCTTTGCACTCAGAGCCCCATGTAAACCTACAGATGGAAAGAAAAGAAACTGGCCAGGCATAGTGGCTCTTGCCTGTAATCGAGGTACTTTGGGAGGCCAAGGCAGGAGAATCTCTTGAGTCCAGGAGTTCAAGACCAGCATGGGCAACATAGCGAGACCCTCTACAAAAAAATTAAAAAATTAGCTGGGCACGATGTTGCACACCTGTACTTCCAGCTACTCAGGAGGCTGAGGCCGGAGGATCACTTGAGCTCAGGAGTTTGAGGCTGCAGTGAGCTATGATCACACCACTGTACTCCAGCCTGGGACACAGAGCAAGGCCCTGTCTCAAAAAAGAAGAAAAAGGAGGAGGAGAAGGAGAAAAGGAAGGAGGAAGAAGAAGGAAGAAAGAAGAGGAAGAAGAAGAAGGAAGAGGAGGAACCAAGTCAGAGCCAAGAGGAGGAAGAAGAAGGAGGAGGAGGAAGAAGGAAGAGGAGAAGAAGGAAAGAAATACAGAGAAAAAGAAAGAGAGAAAGAAAATAATAAATTTATATTGGCCTGTTTCTTGAGCGTGGGACGTTGAGGCTGCAGTGAGGCATGTTCATGCCACTGCACTCTAGCCTGGATGACAGCATGAGACCCTGTTTCAAAAAAAAAAAAAAAAAAGGCCAGGCATGGCGGCTCATGCCTGTAATCCTGGCACTTTAGGAGGCTGAGGAAGGCAGATTGCCTGAGATCAGGATTTCAGGACCAGCCTCGGCAACATGGTAAAACCCTGTCTCTACTAAAATTAGCTGGGTGTGGTGGCATATGCCTGTAATCCCAGCTACCTGGGAGGCTGAGGCACAAGAATCACTTGAACCTGGGAGGTGGAGTTTGCAGTGACCAGAGATTCGAGATCTTATCACTGCAGTCCAGTCTGGGCAATAGAGCAAGACTCTGTCAAAAAAAGAAGCAGTCCCTTCTAATCTCAGAGGCTTTCCTGGGTAGAAGAGGGTGAAACTGCAAAGTGAATAAACCATGTAATAGGTCCCTGCTTGTGGCTCAGCATATTTTTTGCCTTTTGGGGACAATGCCCTACGTGTCCTTCAAGAAGCCATGGTGCCCATCTTCTTGGGAATATGATTTGGCTCAATCAATCAAGCCAGTCAGAAACATTTTTCACATCCTGTCCCTGTACCAAGGTGATTGACTCTGGGATGGGCACAGAACCAAGTCAGAGCCAATGAAACTCAAGAAGACATTGTCTAGAGC